AAAAATATAACATTTAACATAAAAATAGATATTGTGTGTGTAGATACACATATGCACCAGATGAAAGGTATCTGGAAGAGATTTTGTTAATTTGTGGAGAATGCGTGTCTATATGGATGTACTAGAAGAATTGGTGGATTTGAGAAAAGTGTAAAATTTATCGACGTACTGATATGAGGAGAAAATATTTTTTGCAAAGTAAGCTTATTCTCAGTGGAGGCAAAACGTCATGTTTGTACTGTGTTCAATGGCTTGACTCACCTGGAAAAGCTTACATTCTTATTTTGTATACCTTGGAAAGAAAACTAAGACAAAGATTACAAGAGCTGCAAATGAGGTCAGCTTTTTGAATGGGACTTACAAAAGCTATAGCATGGGATCTATATTCAAGTATGTTTCCATTTTGTTTTGCTTGTTTTGTGTGAACCTCATCATAGGGTCATCGCAAATTATCCTGAAGTTCCAAAGAGAATATTTTCTTGGGGTCAGTGTGGGATTCAGTAGCTGTATGCAATAAGAATATTTACAAGTAATTTGGTTGGTTCAGTTAATGCCAGTCCTATTAAAATTTTTGTGTGGGCTATGTACATGTGGAAGAACATTGAAATATACTATATAGTGTAATCCCTGAAATGTTAGTAGAGCCAGCTCTTTTTTTTAATATGTTCCCTCAATGTCCTGAGAATTCTGAGCTTCTTAAAGAAAATCTTTATGCAATGAGCTCTTACGCCATGTAACATGCATTTCAAAATAGGCTTGAGTTGTCCTGCTGTGAAATCAATATGGTTTCCTGAGCTCTTTATAGTTGAAATACGTAGCCTTCTTATGCATTTTGGATCTTCCTTCTTGCTGGTATCTCTTCACTCCTAAAAGTCTATCCTAGCCTAAAGGCAAGGGACAGGATGACCTACTCTGGCTCTCTATCGATATTAAGAATTTTGTTTAGTAGCTGCATTCCTTTTTGGAATGCTTATTCCTTATTTCAAATAGAGCTTTTAGAAATACAGCACTAAGAAGCTGTGAATCTGTTACCTTCATCTTAATACTCCTGTGCAGTGTGTAAATTCTGAATGTGAATACCCAGACTTGCAGAATAAGTTGAGAGTCAGCAGTCTTTTGTGCTCCTAAATGCCAAGTTAGCTAAGAGTTTGAATTTTATTTCCTGTAGGTATTGTCAACCCAAAGAATCCCAAGGAAGCACCAAAGTCCTTCAGCTTTGACTACTCCTATTGGTCCCATACATCGGTAAGTTCTGTTACTTACAAGTAAACCAATATTTTTGTTGTCTGTCTTCATTTAACTATTCCCCTCCCCCCTCCCCCCCGATCACTCAGTTCTTTTAAAATGTTTCTGAATTGACTCTTTTGGATTAAAAGCTTGTCACTGTACGTTATCTTTTCCTATTGCGGTGGGGGTGGAGGCTAAGCTCCTAGGGCTTGGTGACAAATTGCGGTTACTTGAAAGAGATTACTGAAAATACCAACACTGTTGTGTTCTAAGTATTTTAAGGATGCATATGAACCACAGTTGCTTCAGTTCTGCTCTTAATTAGACAAGTGAAAGTTGCTCAAGTACTTGCAGTTCAAGGAAAGATGTGATCTCGATTCTCTTGGCATATCAGGAGAAGGCAGAGTAGTGATCCATGTTTCTGTTAGCTGCAAAAGCAATAAACTCTGTCATCTAACTGCTCTGCCCCACCCTCCTGTGAGTTGATTCTGAGGTTTTGCTGACTTCCAGTAATTGTTCTACAACTGAACTGTGGTGTTCTATCCTCTACCCCTCTCCTGCCTTTCTTTCCTGAAAGATATATAAAAAGAAGGGTTAATACTTTTCTCTGAGCTTAATAGTAATAATTTGGGTGATGTAAATAGTTTTTTTTTAATGAAAATTTAGAGAAACTTGGATTTGTGCAGGTCTTCTACTGAATCTTTCTGTTGAATGACCTGATCCCAAAGTAGCCATGCAAGTAGATTACAGTGTCGGTCAGAGAAACATTATAAACATACTAATTAACAAAACTAGCAGTTATGCAGCATTAAGAAAGAGAACTGATCTGATAAGACCTGCTCATACAAATTCACATTTCAGTAATGCATCATCTGTGCAGTCTTTTGTGGTTTGTGCAGCATAAAACATCTGCATAGATTCTCATTATTGAGATAATCAATTTTCTCAAGTATATTGACCAAGAACTTTCCTAAATGATCAAGAAAGGACTTCAGGAATAGGAGGTGATAACATGTACAGCAAATTCTGTTTTCTGTCACCATTTCTGTATCCTAGTCCTTGCCTGGAGCTGCATCTTGGATTGTGTCCAGTAATTGGATGTAGGAGTGTGGTTAGAGTACAGTGCCTGAGTGCCTGAAATTTCCTACACAGAAAATGGAGGATTAATTTCTTCAGTTTGTGAAATTTTGTTTTGAACAGCTTGTGCACTTGCTTTGAGATCTGGCAGGTGTATTCTTTTTGACATCTGAAAGTTGTGATTTTCACTGTATATGCAGCAGTGCCTCTTTTCCTTAGACGCTTATGATGGTGCTTTATCTTTCAGGATCTTTTGTGTGGGGGGGGTTATCTGTAATAGTATGAAGTGGAGATTGTCTAGATTCTTCTTTGACATACTTTCCATTGAAAAGGTGCATTTTTCCTGAGAAGAAAAAATGTTTTCAACTCCTTTTTCCTGATCCTAATTTGATAATTTGTGGCTATATTGAGCACTTGTTAGTTCTGTTTGTTCAGTATCATAATTTTCAGTAAATTTTCTGCTCTTATCAATCGCGTACCTTGTCATTGTGTGTTTCTGTTCCGATCACCAAAATAGTCAGTTTGTCAGATTTTTTTGCTTACCTTCTGGAGAGGGATATATGATAAATCAAAAATGAATTTAAGATTTAATTGATCCAGCTGATTCTTTGGGCCTGAGTATGAACTGATACCATGAGCACTTTCCTGTTACATTTGACAGTGTTTTAAAAGAAGTATTAAGAATACGTTTTGTTCAGAATAGGTTTTGTTACTTCCATGGTGAGGGATTTTGGTGCTATTTTTATTTTCGTCCTGGGGCAGGGGGGGGAAGTAGTATCAAATGTTTGAGTTAACTGAACAAAGCCATGCGTTCATGCTGTTCTATTAGTCTTCAGCTGAGTTATTTTTGTTCTCCCTACTAAAACATGCTCACTTTTTAGAAAACAGTTGGTGCAAAATGGAATGCAAACTTTTCAGTTGCATATTCAAAGTGATGCTTTACTTTCTCCTTCTACAGATTTCTACCCCTGGATGCATCTGTAGTGAAGTTGTTTATTACTAGGATAAATTACTTTACAACTAGCTTTATTTTCAACATTATGTTTCGGTTTTATTGCTAACCTTCAGTTAGCAATTGCTAACCTTCAGTTAGCAATAAAACCACACAAAAATGTTCTGATACCAGTTCAGCTACTTGCCATATGAGTGGTAACCTGCATTGGGTTATAGGCAGGGGAATCAGACAGCTGCAAGACAAACTTGGTCATTTTAATGATCTGCTTATTTCATTTTTTAAATTAAGAGCGTAACTTCTGCTCCCCACCCTAACCCCAGATGAGGCCTTATCGAGACCAGCCACTGTGGGATTTCATTACTTCGAGCCCTTCTTTGTTTGTATTGACTCTCTGAACTCTACTCAAGTTTCTCCTCCCTTCCAAACACCTTGAATCCTGTTTGTCTGTGATCTTGCACGAAACTCTTTAAGTAGTACCAACAATGTTCATAAAGCAGAATTCGTTTCTTGTGCAGATTTTTCCCTTAATAGCAATCAAGTGGTCCTGTCAAGGCTGTCAGTGTCATTCTGCTCCAGCTGGTACTACCTTTTGGCAAAAAAAATCTGTGTGTTAAAATGTACTAGGTTGCCTTTTGTTAAAGGATTGACCCCCAAGTTAAAAGTGAAATAAAACTAATAGCGTTTTGAAATGTTACTTGCATGAGAGGAGAAGACTGTATTGATGCTGTTTTCATGTCTCTTCAGCCTGAGGATCCCTGCTTTGCATCGCAGAGCCGTGTGTACAATGATATCGGGAAGGAGATGCTGCTGCATGCCTTTGAGGGCTACAATGTATGCATTTTTGCCTATGGGCAAACTGGAGCTGGGAAGTCCTACACAATGATGGGCAAGCAAGAGGAGAGCCAAGCAGGCATAATCCCACAGGTAAAACAGAACCCAGAAGGGAGATTTATTTTATATAGCATGTTCAGATGCTTACTTGCTGATAGAGTCTTTTTATATTGCAAGAGCAATTCACAGAAAGCCTCAGCTTGCTTCTGAAGTGAAAGAAATCTACTCAGGATTACTATAAGTAATTTTCACTCTAGTGTAATGCTTTTAGTGTATTATATTCTCTCTGTATACTTTTCCTACGATTTCTCCGCTCTCCTAGCAAACTAGGAAATGAAGATGACTTATTCACTGGGTTTCTCGAATCCTTCTCTGACTTGAACTAGGACAGCACATGAGCACTCTTTATTGTGCTGGAATTCAAGAGGTGATATTGCTGATGAACGCGCCACAATTTTTTTTGTAGAAACAAGTCTTTCAAAGCTAAAAATTGATTAATATATTGATATCCTGTAAGAAGTGAAGAACATCAAAGTGTTGGTATGAGATATTTAGAGCATGGGAGTGCAGTCCAGTGTTACTGCCTATGAAATTTGTTTTGAAATTTGCCCATGAAATGTAAGGAAATTGAGATTACCCCCATAGAAAATTCTGACTGATACTTGGTGCTATTGTAATAAAGTCAGCATACTGTAGCTGTTGGTTGTATGGTACTCCTGAATGTAGGCCTTCCTTGATAGGTAGGCGCTGGCAGTGTACCACATGTTTGTTGGAAGATACTGCATCTCTCTGTTCCCAAAGCAGAAATCTGAGGTTGGGTTTCAATAAATAAAAATGCTGAACAGCATTTGAGTCATCGTTCTGCTATAGGTTTGCAGTAGGAGGCGTTGGCTCTCTGCCACGTGTATGAAATAGCCGATGCACAGTGTTATTCTCTGTTAATAGAGCAGACATCTGTACTGAAATACGTAACAAGTGTTCTGTTACCATTTGAGGTTGCATATAGGTTAGCTTAAAATAGTTTTGGAAGAGTGCATTTGTACAAGTGTGCACAATTAATCTGATGAAAGAGATAATTGTTATACCTAGGCATTTTATTTTTCTTATATTAATATAAAGTGTCAGTGTAACAGGTGAAATTGGTTGAAAATCTGTGCCAACAGTTTGGTGTTTAAATTGTGTTGTAGTCATGATATTCCAATTTATCTTTTGTACCCTCAAGTGCATGTAAACTAAAGGCTGTACTTAAACAAAAATAAAATAAAATAAAAAATAAAAAAATACTTAATGCTCCTGTTATCCACTACAGGTTTTAAACAAAATCTTTTCCCTCTAATTTCATTTTGAGAGGCCTTCCCTTAAAGGAACAAAGTGAATTGTTTCTTCAGGGAGAGCTTGTTGAATCTTTTCTTTCTTGCAATGTACACAAAAGATACAGCGCAATCATATACCAAGTAATATTGGTTCTTGACACTAAATTCTTCTGTGTTGGCAAAATTCCCTGACCTTATCAGCCAGTCCCTAGTGTGAAGTTTTACCATGCTTTAACCATGTATTGACTCAGTTCTCCAGAGCATATACTTTTAAAATGGCCTATATCCTTCATATTCTGTGAATTTTCCATACAGCGGCTTGTAGGTATCTGTGTTTCAGAAGCCTGTTTCTACCCTTGTCCCTCTCTGTGCCTATGCTTTTTAGTCTCCTTATACACATCCATGGGCTTGCCCACCTTTCATTTTTTTCTTCCTTTATTATCCTAATTTTGGGTCTCATATTTCATTTATTTATAGACAAGCAATCTTGAAGTAGTAGGCTGCTGATAGCTAACATATCCTTCATATGAAGGCGCCATTAACTGATTTTGAAGCAGTATCTGTCAGTTGATTTAAATCTAAATCCTGACACTTTAACAAATCAATGAATTGACACAGGATTATTCTCTTAAAAATAAACAGGTTATTGTTTTTGACTGGGAGAGAATCAAGTGTCATCCTTTCTGAAGTATCATTTCTTTCTAAAACTGTTACTTCCAATGTCGTTTACAGGCTTTAATTTTATAATAAGTAATTTTTCTAGTTTTGTAGTGCAGAATATTAATATGGTTAAATCTAGAACAACTGTTGAGAGGCTATGTAAAGTAAGTTATCAAGGTTGCATAACAGTGATGAGGAGTTGAGATTAAGTACCTTCCCAGTCAGGCTCTGTGTGGTTGCTGTAATTTGTTCTTTTTCTTCCTCTGCCCTTGCTCTAAAGCCAAATTAATGACATGTCATAGAGTTAGTTGTTACTGCTCAGTCAGGACTAGTTCCTGACTCGGCCTTAATCTCTTTCCAGCTATGTGAAGAACTGTTTGAGAAAATCAATGACAACAGCAACGAAGAAATGTCCTATTCTGTAGAGGTGAGTATGAGGAGAGATCGAAGGATATCTGTCCTGGACCTCAAAGTGAGCTTAACTGCTGCATTATTGATGCTGCATTTATATTGATATTTTTGAAAGCGTTTGTCTTTTCTCTGTTTCATATTTGATATAAAGGTACAAGTAAAATTTTTGTGGGACCAGGAGTTTTTGGGGTTTTTAGAGGGTTTTTTTTGCCTTTGTTTTGAAAACCAGTGTGCTTTTACTACCTTATAGGAGTAGCAATTATGAAGCAAATGATATGCTGAGAAACCGAAAGATGAATTTACAGTGTGGGTTTTTTTTTTGTTTTGTTTTGACTGCTGGATGGAAGACCGATTCTACATATTTCTTATCAATTAATATAGTTATAATTTGTGTTCTGTATAGGCCTTGTTTGGAATGTCTTAGTTATGCAGTCTTACTTGGCATCTCCTATTACTAAATTGAGTTTATAGACAGACTGGGATTAGAAAAGGATAACTGATACAGCACCACATATAAGAGTTCTTCTTCTCTGTCATATGTCGTAGGCTGAGCTGAAACTGACTGAATTAATTCCCTTTCTATGAGTCCAAAAAAAAAAAAAAACCCAAAAGTTTAGGAGAATGCTCGTATCCACAGCTGGCTGAGATGAAAAGTTAAGGCTACATAAAAACAGTTTGCTGCAGAGATCCATTTTGTGTTCAACATACTGTTTACTTCATAGCTAAGTAGGTATTAATTAGTTAGTTGCAGTGGCCAAAAAATGCACCTAGTTGTGTTTTATTTCTTATCTTAGGTTTGTTTCTAAGTTTTAGTTGCATAACTTTTGGCGATACTGGTGATGAGAAGTGGAAAGAATGTATTTAAAAGTAATCTTACCTTTAATTCTGTTTCAAAGCATGCAGATTTAAAATAACCGTAGGTTGAATAATTTTGCTGGTGACTTAGGAATTCTACAGGCAGGCCTTGGGTACAGATTAGAACCAGAAGTTGTCTTCATACAAAGAAATTCAGTTTTCTTTTTCCTTCTTAGTTTTGCTTTGGAGAATTATAAGGAAGGTTCCTTGTAAACAGACTGTTTTTACTATCTGTCATGTTTGCTTCTTTGGAAAGATACAGTTTTGCTTATTTGTCGTATACTGAAAAGGTTAAGTTGGTTATTAACTCAAATGTAATAGATTTTAATTAAACGCCGGTGTTTTTTGAATTGCTTGGGGGTCTGTACACGCGGGAAAGGTCTGCAGCTTATGCTGGAGACCTAATGTTCTTCCTTTCTCCTTGCGTCTCAAGCTATTAAACAGAGACATGCACCTATAGCTTTCCAGTAGACAAGGGGAACTTTCTACTGGTGCCAGTCTGAAATGCTGCAGAGCTTCTTTCAAGAGAAGTGTTAAGAATCACTAAATTATCCATGCAAATTCCCTTTTTCAGGTGAGTTATATGGAGATTTATTGTGAAAGGGTCAGAGACTTGTTAAACCCGAAGAACAAGGGGAATTTGCGTGTGCGAGAACACCCTCTGCTCGGACCGTATGTGGAAGATCTGTCCAAGCTAGCAGTCACGTCTTACACAGACATTGCGGACCTCATGGATGCTGGGAACAAAGCCAGGTTAGTGATGGTAGTTTGTTATAATGGCTTTTTCTCCCTCTCATGGGGATACATGACATACAGCATCAAATTTGAAATAACTTCTGTGATGCCCTGGCACTATTTTTTTAAACTGATGTCAGAGTAGATATCTTATGAAAATATACAGGGATCAATGCTCTTGTGCTGTTAAGAGAGCAAAATTGATTTATGTGGTGAAATAGTGCTGCAAATCACTTCATAGATATTTAAAATTTGTAATGGCTTGAGATAAAATATGTAAATAATTACGTTGGGTTTTAGAAAGTTTGACTTCCTTGTATAATGTATTTGTATATATACGAATTATATATTTGTATATTTTTATAATGTATATTTGTATTTGTCCATATACAAATAATTACGTATTTATATAAATAAACATGTAAGAACAGTGTCCTCTTTCAGTCACTCAAGTGATCAGGACCAAAGCTTGGTATTCCAGCTTTAGAGTCTGGTTTAGCAGTAGTTTCTATCATGTCAGTTGTAGGTTTTGGTAGGTTGTCCCATTTATGGGAAAGGGTGACATAAATGCTGCTGGCATTTTCGTGTGTGTGTGTGTGAGCATAAGGTAGACTAGGGAGTATGTGGATTGAGGATGCTCTGTTTAAATTGTGGTGAAGTCAGGGAAAAATTCAGCAGTGAAAATCAAAGGGGTTGTTCATGGCATTCAGTGTGGCTTGCTCTTGGTCACGTGGCACAAGAACAACTGTATAGCCGCTGGAGAGCATGCTTCTACAGATGCATTCAGCCCTGCAGTAATTATACTTGCAGCGTAGAGGCTGCTGTTTTCTGAATATATGTGTATATGTTCATCTTTTAGGACTGTGGCAGCTACCAACATGAATGAAACCAGTAGCCGCTCTCATGCTGTGTTTACAATTGTCTTCACTCAGAAGAAACATGATGCAGAAACTGATCTTTCCACAGAAAAGGTATGTTATAGATAAGAAGTGGCTTTCTGAGAACTGGTTGTCACAAATTCTCCATGTAATGACTTACTTTTGTTGGAAGTATGAAATGAAAATGGGAATTAATTGTCATTTCTGGTGTGTGTGTGTGTGTGTTTTTTTTTTAAGGGTAAATTTGCTGTATGCCTTCTGAGAGCCCTTTTATTTCTTACTGGATTTTGACTGATCTTAATTCTAAAAACAACTAAATTGAAAACATATGCGGGAGGACAATATATAGGAGAAGGAAGAGTGTGGCCATAAGACCTAGTTTCAGTCGAGAGGGATATATGAAATAGAAGTGAATCTTCCCCAGTCTTGTTCACAGAACCTTCTGTGTTTCTGTCTGTCAGTGTCAAATTCTTTTCTCGTTAGTTCTTCTCTATGGGGGCAGGGAGTAGGATGTAGTGTTATTTGGGCACTTTCTGGAATTTGCATATTAAAAAGAGGTATACTTGAGTATGGAGCAGTTTTCTAGCTTTTATTACTCTGTGGAATAGAGGCTCTGCATGCAAAAGTAGCTGAAGTACAGGTAATGTTAGCATTTTTAAACTGATCACTGTAAAGAGGTCTGAAAATTGTATTGAAGACTCCTCCTCTCCCCTGCTCCCCTTCAAAATGGTCTGACTATGCAAAATTATTATTAACTGATATGTAGTCTCTAGTGCCAATGCTTTATTGCTGGTGTCACTAGAGGCAGGATGAAACATAGTCTCTGGATTCTTATGTCGTCGAAAAACTTAAATTCTTTTGACTTTGATTTTGCTCTGTTCATATGAGACCTCATTATTTCTTTTTAGGTAATTTAGAGTATAGCAGTATTTAAAACAGAACATGCTTCTTATCCATAAGAGAACAGCACCAAGCTGATTATTTGTGAAAACTTGGTTTGACTGTAGTGTTAAGCATACTTTGATTTATAGACAGTAGATGCCATAGAATTAATTGCCATAGAATTAATTTCAATGCCATAGAATTAATTGAAATTTTGTTTTTATTCTGGTTCACCACAAGCTAATACTAGTTGTTAATGTGCTTCTCTCTTCAGGTCAGCAAGATTAGCCTTGTGGATCTGGCTGGGAGTGAGAGAGCTGATTCAACTGGTGCCAAAGGAACTCGACTGAAGGTATCAGGCCACTGATGCATGGGGAAAGGAAGGGAAGTTGTTGTACAAGCAGCATGAGGAGACTGTGCTTGACAAATAATAAGGAAAAGAAAGAATTGCTAAAATAAGGATGGAAAAATATAGTTCCCAACATATCTACGTTGTCAGTCTTCTCTTAAGGATAAAATAGGTAACCAATACTGAAACAATATAGTATCTACCACTCAGAAATCAGATTGGGGAAAGTCTAATTATTTATGTAGTAGGATTTTTTTTAGATATGCAACTGGAATTTTTGGTGAGCTGAGTGTAGTGAAAGTAGTGGAAGTACACTTGACTTTTTCCACTTTCTCACCCACAGAATAACATCTTTCAGGGTCTCCTATTCCTGGCCTCTTTTGAGGCTAAGGACCTTTTCAGAAGACGTTCAGTGCAACCGGCACCCTACAGATTAGAAATGCCCAAACCCAAACCTCCTTCCTCTAATAAGTTCCCGCCGTTCCTCTAATAATAAAGCAGTAATCAGCTCAGTATTAAAGCAAAATGCATCTCCAGCGCTAGTGCTGCCAGCCCGTGTCATAACATAACAAGGACTCTTCCCAAAATATTTGGCTTGCCCTGTCGCAGTCGGACACGTTTGAGTTCAGCCCTCTGTCAACGCTGCCAGGTGTCCCCTGGACCTCCTGCATCGCAGCCAAGAAGCAGAGCTCAGAAGCAAAGGAATCAGGATTATTCGCATTACTAAAATGTAACGGAATGTTTAAACAGATGATGTAACAAAATCCTTCACGGCAAAAATATATATATATATATATATATTGCTGTTCTTAAAAGTGAGTTCTCAACAACTTGGGACAGGTTGACTATACTTAAGCGCTTCTGAGATGTTTTTATTAAAACTATTCTCATTCACTGAATTCCACAAGAAAAGAGAATATTTTCCAAGCTAACATGAAAATTATATATGTAGTTCTCTTAAGAAGCTCATCTTGTATCTTCTTCCTCTTATGCTTTCAACTTAGGATAACTGCACCAGCAAGGTATGATGGACCTGAGTAGTAGTGGATGTTGGTTTTTTTTATTGACTGTAAGATTTCATTCTCTTCAGCTTGGAAACCAAGAGCAGGGATAGAGTTATTGCAAGACCAATACTTGTTTTTACGCACCTCTTGAGTGTTAAGAGAAGTTTCCACACAATCTATAATCAAGCCTTTTATTGCAAAGTCATATCCTGTGTTAAATGTTGTGTGGAATTAAACTCGTGGCATCCCTTGAAGCATGATGTTTGCCTATAACTCTTCATAAGTCAACAGAAGATTAAATATTGTTCTTTAATGCGTATCTCTGTAGCTGTGGAATCTCCTTTGATGGACTTGTGAGTACTCTAGAAAGTCACAATTTTTCTAACAAAGTAAAAATGAATCTTCCCCTGGAGTAGTAATAATTACTGTCTAGATTGTCTGGGAATGGTATTAGGACATAAACTTTATATGTCAGAAGGATATTCTTCATACACAGGAAAACCTTTCTGAAGGTAGTGCTTCAAGGGAATTCCCTGATCTGCTTATCATTAGGTATTTCATTATGTTGCATGTTATCTAATATTAAACTCGATCGTTGTACAGCTGGGGGGGGGGTCACCCCTCTGTTTTGCTTCCATATGCATATAGTGTTATAGTTCTTTTAGGACCTATCCTATGATTGTTACATCTTACACACTCAATGGAAAATGAAAGTTTATTTTTCAGTAGTGTATTCTTTCTTTGTAGAGTAAAAAAAAGAAGAAGACAGACTTCATACCGTACAGGGATTCTGTATTAACGTGGCTACTTCGAGAAAATCTAGGTATGGCTAACTTGCCTGTGCCAGTATGGAAAGAAGTTCTCACTAAATTTTATGAATGCTTTTGCCTCACTTTACTTAAATTATGGGATTAAATACTTTTAGCAGTCAAATTTGAATCATGTGTTCTACCCTTTGTTAAAGTTGCAGGTCTCTTATTTATCCTATGATTTTTGTGTGTTACTTAGGATATAGTTGAATTTTACAGTTTATAGAAAATACTGATATTCAGTAGGTAATTAGTGCCTGAACTATGCACTGCAGTTTCATCAAAAACCTTACCTGCTCATTATAGGTGGGAACTCCAGAACTGCCATGGTTGCTGCTTTGAGTCCAGCAGACATCAACTATGATGAGACTTTGAGCACTTTAAGGTACAATCTTTTTATGTGAGATGGGTGCAGCTAGCAGTTAGCTCTAATACTCGAAGGTTTGAAGGCTAGGGTGTGGCTATTATGCTTTGAATATCTGAAGGGAAGAAAACTATATACTGCAAGAACTCAATTACCCTGAAAGGGGAAAAAACTCATCTTTTGAACGTGGTTATAGAGCTAGGGATGTGTTGCCTACACTTAACCTGAAATTGATAAAAACTAATCTTCTCATGTTCATATATTCTTTTCCAGTGTGGTCCCTAAAATTCAGCATATTAGTTGAGCTGAGGCCTCGACAACACTGAATAAAGCCCCCTCAAATCCCTACTCAAAAAAATTATCTTGTCTGTTGTACGTATGAGGTACCTTGTTAATGCATCTTGAATGGAACTTACCTCTTTTTGCAACAGTACCCTGCATTAAACTTGAATTCAGAGCATCACTGAATATTATCTTGGATTCTTTTCTGCTATACAACTGCAAGCAAAATGTCTCCTATATTGCTACATTCCTGTGTTGTGTGTGAGTGCTTATATGTTCAGTATAAGGGCAACAAGGTTTGTTTTGACTGGTTCCAGATATGCTGATCGTGCAAAGCAGATTAAATGCAATGCCGTTATCAATGAAGACCCTAATGCCAAGCTGGTGCGTGAGCTGAAGGAGGAGGTGACACGGCTTAAGGATCTTCTGCGTGCCCAAGGACTGGGAGATATTATTGACAGTAAGTGGCTTAAATAACCTTGCCAGTCCTTGCCATATTGCAGCTGGTCTCTCCTCTTGCAGAGGAGAGAGACCTGGACCTGTGAGAAAAAGGAGTTTAAAACAGTCAAGTGTAGGTGCTGACATGAAATTTTGCACGTGGTTCTGAGAATGGTAGCCTCTTTTTAAACTCATCCCAGGATCTTCTGTGGAGTTGATAGGCCACCTTCAAACTCTCGAGGAAAAACATGCTAGTTGGAGTTTGGTATTCCTGCAGAAGTGATTTATTGTAATAGAACTTCATTAAAGAATTGCCTTGGTGGGTTATGAAGGCTGTTTTGTCTAGCTGCTGTTAAAAGGATAGTTGCCGTATAGGAAGAGAAGCTCATTTCGTACTGGGAGAGAAGGCATCTTTTGCTTCTCCTTGAGGGGCATAAGGTTATTAGTTGATACCTGTCTCCAGTACTGTCCTTGCTTGGAAAGGAAAATGATGCATGCATAATTCCTGTTAGACCATCCTGGATGACAGAGCATTTGTCATCAGTAAGCAATTAGCTATGAAACAGGTGCTTGTGAACAAAATAATGAGTTCTTTCAGGGCAAGATTTGGGCTTAGGTTGGGAGAGCTGTACTTGTAGGAGCGTCCATGTTTTCTAAATACTGGTTTGCTTTGCCATCAATGTTACCTCTTAAAGCACCAGAACAAATTTGTACCTGAATTATTTCCTGGCTCTCATTCCCAATAAGGCGAGTAAACTAAAATTTTAACTGCCGCATCCTTTTGTAATAGGAACAGTAGTTTGGTTCCTAGTGAAGGAGAAGCCCATAAAAACGCAGCATGTATTGTTGTAGTTTATATTAATTCTGATTTGCTGCCTAAAAGGAAAAAAAAAAAGTTCAGTGTGACAAAAAAGGACAAAATAGTGAATGTTGCAATAGTTTCTGACTTGTCAGTGGAGGAGGAGTTGTGATTTAGTCATAGACTGCATAAAGTGTAACATGTATGTAACTTATTTTCTGCGTGTTTTCAAGAGAATGAGGTCAAGACAATGAAATGCAGGTGTTCTCATGCTTGTTACAGTGTGTATTTCTCGGTTCTAAAACAAAACTGGAGAAGTGATGATGTGTTACTGAAAACTGTGCTTTGTTTCTCTAAACATCAAGCAGTATTCTCTTCCCTTCCCATATCACTGTTGAGCCTTGAACTTTGATCCTTCTTGTATTTTCCCTCCTGCTTCCCTTCAGTTGATCCAATGGGAGATGAATACTCTGGAAGTGGAGGCAAATGTGTGTATTGTGTGGTTCTTTTCTTAACCTGCTTCCTCTGGGTCAGCTTTTAACTGAGCTTTGCATGCCAGCATTTCTCACAGGGAAATCCCAGACAGAACACTCATTGTGGAATGTAATGCAGTTTCATGGAGACTAGCTTAATCAGCATTTCTCATATGGAGTCAACAGTCAAAAAATAAGTGCAGAGTTTAAAATGCAACACGGTATGTCCATTGCTTTCTTGCTGGCAGAATATAGATGGACGGTGGTAATTCTTTAGTCTATTTTCATGACAGCTAATGATTTTGATTCAAAACAGAAAATCTTTTTCTCAAACCTTTCTCAAGTTACTAAGTTAAAATAGCTTTTACTTATTTGGCTTCCTGGCCTTTTAACTTCTTTTCCATATAGAAGTATTTGTTGTAAATGTGTCAGTTGATTAACTTAGAATGAAAAAGTATTGGTTCCTTCTGGAGACTGACTTTTTAATATAGTCTCTTCACACAAAAGTGTTGGACATTTTTTACTGATGACAGTCTCTTATTTGGGCTCTTAAGCTCGTGATTATCAGTGTAGTTACTTTGCAGAACAGAGACTAGTTGTCCTCCTGAAGAAATATTTTCAGTGTGAAGGAACTGATGAGGATTAGCTTAATAGGGTTGGAAGCATTCAGCAAATAGCACTTCCTTTCTGTTCTCCTGACCCGTTCTGTGAAAGGGGCAGGCATATGCATAATACATTGCAAGAGAAATGCCTGAATGTCCAAATTGTATTCTCTGTAAGCTTTGGGTTGGTAGATTTTGTTTGAAACTTTTCAGCCAGTCTTCTCCACCCTCACTGTGAAAAAAGGTCAACTGGAAGAGATCTGTCTGAAATTTCCTAAACTTGAAGCTACCAGTGGTGAAAAGACTCATCCTGGCCTTGTCTTGCATTCTGATGCTGCTTCCAGCGTGTGCATATGTCATCTGTGTGAAAGCTGCAGCTTCCTGAAGAAGTGTGCATGGCATTGAAGGTTTTGGTTCTCTGTGGTCACAGCAACTGCCAAAACTATTGCAAATGCCACTTCCTTTTTCTCCAGGAGTGCATGTGTCTTGGCCATTCAAGACTCCTTCCTTCCTGCTCTGCTATGCCTACTTTCCTCTTCCTGATGGCGTTCCCTTTCCTTAACCTCCTCTTCTTTTGCTAACCTTCCTGTATTTGCAGATGGTGGTTTTCAAACTGACTTGATGCAATCATCAGTCTCATGAGGCTGAAACAGCAGTTTGAACATGAAGTGAACTAGGGCATAAGGCTTACGATAGCAGAATTATTCAGGCTAGGAGTAGAGGAGATGTAGGAGGACATGGAAATTTATGCAATGTCTGGGTGAGCATCTCTTATTTTTGAAAGTGCTGTTGGTAACACCACTTTATGGTGAAGCCCTTATTTATAATCTGCAAGGTCTGATTTGACCTGCTTATTTCCCAAGAATACTTATTTGAAAGGATTTGTTTCTGAACTAGAGTTTTAAACTATCAAAAGTGTTAAAACTGAGCTACCTAACTGTCCAATATTTCCATGTTAGAAGATTTTTGTCATTACTTTCAGGGTTTGGTGTACAGACATATCCAAGAAGCCAAATTAGATCAAAATAAATTGCTTCTGGATAGTCTTTTTTAAATCAGTCGTATGCCTCATGTGCCTTTTCCTTCTGTGTTTTCTGCCTCTCTAGGAGGCATCTGCAGGCCTCCGGTTTTTCAGGTTACACAAGTTGCCTCATTAGGTTTTTAAATCCTTCCCCTTCTAAGTTAAGACCAAAAAGCTTTTAGGTACCTTTTGGATCATGTAACTTTTAGTAGATGTTTAACCAATTATGTATCTTGGATTGCCATTTTCCAGATAAGGATGGTCGAAAGGAAACATAATGATATAATTGTGAGCTTGTGTTCCTTTTGTCCCTGTCACGGACTGAGCAGATGATTTATATCCTTGCTCTCCTGTGAGAATTTGAGGAGGGGATAGTTCTTGGTCATTGTGGTCCAGGTATTTTGGCAGCAGAACTACTTTCTGCTCTGGTATAAATATTTACTTAAACATCATTATAGATTAAAGGAGTCTGGAAGATAATTTTTTTTTGTTGAGTTTCAGGGTAGTATATGTTCAGACTTAAGCCTAAAATATCAGGAATCTCATCAGTAGCTACGTCTGTTCCTGGTCTCAGCTCCATATTGCTCCCTAGTTTAGTATTCGGTTAGGAGCAGGGCAGCTCAACCAGCCAAGCCAGGGGTTTCCTCTGAATTATATGGTGTTTTTGGTGAATGTGTAGCTTATTTTTCAGGTTTTCTTTAAGGCTGTTTAAGACACAGTCCTTATTTCTAATCCTCAGGGTCTGAACTGAGTAATTTTTTTTTCATGGATACTAATATTAAAGAATTTGTTTCAGAACTGCCATCTAAAAATTACAAAACTTATCTTGTTGCTGCTCAAATGCTTGCCTCTTACACTGGTGTTTCCCTCCTATTTTCCTTTTTCCTGTTCCTTTTTTCTTCTTCTTTTCCTTTTTCCCATCCCTCTGCCTTCCCTCTGTCTGTCTGTCTTTCTCTGCCAGATTTGAAAGATTTTCAGAACAATAAACATAGATACTTGCTAGCCTCCGAGAATCAACGTCCTGGCAATTTTTCCACAGCCTCCATGGGGTCCCTCACTGCCTCTCCGTCCTCCTGCTCTCTCAATAGCCAGGTGGGCTTAACGTCTGTGTCCAGTATACAGGAAAGAATCATGTCAACACCTGGAGGAGAAGAGGCAATTGAACGTTTGAAGGTAGGTATTAAGACAACTATAATTTTGGTCTTTTTCAAAGCTTAATAGCTGTGAAGCTGGGTGAAGTCCCCTTTAGCAAATGTAGCCAGTATATTACTGCTTCTGTAGGAAGTTGTCTGAAACCCGGTTGCACTTTAGAAAGTGCGCTTAAGTGAGGTGAGCTAGAGACTGGGTTCATGCACAGCCTTTTCTTTTGTGATGATAAGGGTTTAATTGTAGTCTGGAACTACAACTGCATTTGTAAATGGCAGTCTTAGTTCTTGTTTACTGGTCATCTGATACAGTGACAAATTATGGGAAACTTTATGATAAGTATAGACCTCAAGAGGCCTGGTCAGCACTAGTGTGGACTAGGTCTGACTAGCCAATGCAGTCAGCTTTCAGATTTCCAACTTCGAGATAATTTGGTTAAAGGAGGCAGAATAATCCTGCCACTGTTATATTCACCCAACCCCCACAGATTAAAATGTGAAGCACACAGAATAGCATGCTTTAACTAGACAATAGCAGCCTTGTCCAAATTCTGCATAGAATTGAACAGCATCAAAAGTGCATTGCAGTGAAGTATTTCTTCATTTTACCAAAGCCTCCAGTCTCCATGGGCAGATGAGTAGGGAGCCCATGTAAAATCCATGCTGCTTTCTCATTTCTTATCCATGAGAAGGCTGCTACAGGGATCAGAATGGGCTGAAACACACACTGCATATCCCTTTCTACCAGAAACCTGCTGTTGCCATGGAAATAATGGTGTGGTCTCTGCAGTCCCTGACATCCAGTTACTGAATGATGTCTGTAAACCAGATTAAAAAAAAAAAATCTAAGTGATTTGAACTAAAGTCTGAGCTGGCTGAAGTTATCTTTCTCTTGTCAGTTTGCCTTCAAGACTATTTAATAAAAATATGACTGAATTATCTTCATAATTTTCTATTATTTCATAATAACTTACAGATTTGAACTACTGAGTGCTTTTTGTACTTAAACTGAGGTGCAGAACTGAGCATGACCTTTAATTGCTTTGTGTATAGTGTAGAGAGAACTTTCTTGAGAAGGACTGTAAAATAGCTTCTGGATTTTTACACAGGAATCTGAGAAGATCATTGCAGAGTTGAATGAAACGTGGGAAGAGAAGCTGCGGAAAACTGAGGCCATTAGGATGGAAAGGTCAGGAATCAGAAGTGCTGTAGATGCTTTATAGAAAATGGAGAAGAGATGTGGGAAAGAAGAGAATGTTCCTTTGTTTAAAAGCAATGAAACAGCAGCAGAGCACTTAGTGATAATTCTGCTGTTCTTTGTATTGTATATGACAGTAGGGGCAATGCTGAGAGAAAGCCATGTTCTTTCCTGTGTTTCCTACAGTTAGCGTTGAGTTGTAATTCAGATAACATCCCGAGTTAGTACATCAGCTTCTGTTGTGAAACAGTGTGAAGTCTTCCTGGTCTTTTCCTTCCTCCTTTCACTTTCTGTTACAGTCCAAAAATCTGACCCTGTAAGTTAAGCAGGAAAGATGAAGCTTTTGATACCAGAGTATTTAAAATAATGAAACACCTCCAGCTGTGGTTTGAATTCTGTCTTAGAGCAGCAAGAGGAATGGCTAAGAATCAAGTAAGGATTGTAACTGGGTACAACAAAAGAGGAGTATTTGTTAGAATTCTAAGTGTTTACAGTATATGTATAAGGGGAACATCTCTGCTTGGAAACAAGGTGCCTGAGCAGTCTAAAGTCATGAGAGGTACAGAGAAAGTGGATAATGATTATTCACTGACTAATACGAGAACTAAAGGAGGTTAAATAGGACTAACAGGTGGTACACGTGAAACAAATAGGGAGTTCTCACAAGACATAGCTAAGCTATTAAAGTATTTACTGCATGATGATGATGGTAGGAATTGGATTCAAAAAATGATGACAAACTTGAAACAAAAACAGAAAAACTTTGGAGAGCTGTTTAAAAGAAATGCTGCCTTTATTTCTGCAAATACCTTGGGAAGAAATTGGGAGACGGCAAGACTACTTTGGGGAAATATCACTGTCTTTGCCTTGTTCTTATTTCTCTGTGGGCATTACTGTTGAGCTTTGTCAAAGCCAAGAATACTGTGTCATACAGACATTTTGTCTAACTCAGTACAGTCCTTTTCTATATCTTAATAGGCAGAGAGCGCATTTTATAATAGATCACAAAAAGCCACTTAAGCCTTTAAGTTGGTGAATAAGGATCGTTCTTTTTACCTGAAATAAATGTTTAAATTTAGAATAGCCTTTAGCCTTCCTTGAAGAGGCAATGAATGCGATGTTCTAAAACCTACTCGCCTTGTGGTTATATTATTGCCCTAAAAGATCATGTTAATCCTGTGTAAAATTTTTCTGTTCTTATTCCGCAGGCCTGTAAACTTTGGGGCTAAAGTTTAGAAACTTGGCCTACTGCATTGTAAAGTAGTGTCAGTCCTGGTTGTATGGTCAATGGATAGGCTGCTTGAAAGCTAAGAACTGCATCTTCTGAAGCCTAAAATATGGTAAACGTCTCACTTTTCCCACTCAGGGAGGCATTGCTGGCAGAAATGGGAGTTGCCATTCGTGAAGATGGAGGAACGCTGGGAGTCTTCTCACCTAAAAAGGTAGAGAAAGTTGCTATTAATTATTGAATCATGTATGCAAAAGGCTAATCAACTTGGCAGATGACGGGGCATCTGCTGCTCACCTTCTGTGTGAGGTATAGAAGGATGTAAGTGAGGTTTGGACCTTTTCTGCTAAGCTCCTTTTACCATAGGTTTTTAGCCCTTATCTTTAATGTTAGTATACATCAAAACACTCTGCATCTAGAGGTTGTTTCGCCCATGTCAATGAAGTTGAAGGCTGTATTCATGCAAGTGGTGTGATGTAGTACTTAATGCTTTTAGCTATGTAAAGAATATTGTCTGCAGTAGCTTCCAGAGATCATTAAGGTAGGGGGAAGCATGTGCCAGCATGTGCTAGCTTAACACAGTGATGAAATAGGAGCAGCATAACAAGTTCAGTGGAAGACTTTTAACATTCACAAATGCTTGAACTCTGTATTCTTCCTTTAGAAAAATCCATGCTGCCAGTAGTAGTCTCTGTGCGTATCTGTTGATTCAGTAGCACCTCAGAAATGCTGCCTCTTAGATTGCTGTTGCCATTTACTGCAGTAGATGAGTCTGACTTTCATGTAATGTGCCTACTCACCTCTGAGCCTGAAGAGTGTTAGTCTTGTTTAGATGCTGTTTTTTGAATTTGTTAACCTTTTCCCTCCCTGGAAAAAGGGATCGTAGTCTGGTAAGCTAACGGTGGCACACAGGGAGTGCAGGAAAGAGAATATTTCTTTCAGTACGTGTCAATAGTTGAAAGAAGTAGAACTGTGAAGAATAAGGGCATAAATCAATGCCATAAATATAAAAGGATGAAGTTATTAAGGAAATTAGTATCTATGTAGTTAATGCAGAATTATTAATTGAAGAGCTGCAATGAAAAGAACCCACTTTCTTGTATCTCAGAGATCTTTGAACAAATAACACAGGCTAATACTTTAGCTTGGAAGTTGCATATGCAAGTGCTTAACAAACTTTGATCTTAAGATGAAGTGGGGCCTCTCTAGAGGCATTGTACAGAAACATAGGGTGGCAGAGTTGTTAAAAATTTTTAATCCTCTGCTTAAAATAATGTTGTTATGTTTTGGATAGGTAGAACTCTGGTTTGCTTTTGGTATATATTCCACAGGTGTCTAAGGTTTGTAAAGGCACTAATTCATCGAGTGTTCTTTTCTTTTGCTGCTTGTGTTATGGCTCCTAATCTCCTTTTAGATTTTCCCTCAGAGGCCATCAGCTCTTTTTGATGATTCTTTTGATGCATTTTCTGCTGACCAGGTTTGTGTATAAATGCCATCTAGGATAAGTAGTTGCTAATAGGTCGTATATATTTTTTCCTTATACAGGATATATTAGAGGAAGTAAACCTTCCAGACGCCTGACCTAGTCCTGTCTGCTTCTGTTCCTTGCTATCCTTGCAGTTCAGTTTCAGTAGTTCTCCTTTTAGTAGTTGTGGCTGCTGTTGTAAACATTTCAGAGCTGTAGACAGCACATTTGAGGCTATGTATAAAGACTTTTCGCTTCTGAAGTAGTAGTATAAATCTAATCGCATGCTACTTAGGACAGTGTTGTATTTTTACCAGCTGAGCTGTAAATTGAACTGCGTAAGGTGAATTTTGCCTACTTAATGAATGAAAACGTATCCGACTTGCGCAACCATTGCTGTGATGATGGAAAACTGTTTGAAATGCATTGTGGAAATTTAATTATCTGTGCTGTCCTCAAAGGTAGGAGCAGGGGAAATCCCTTAATTCATGCTTGAGGAATTCTGGACAGAAGAAGGCTGGAAACATAATTGTTCTGTGTCTGATTAATAAATCTCAGAATGAGTGAACAGTCTGTTTTACCAGTACCACCTTTCAAATTGCTAAGCTTTATTTCTTATAAAGCTCTCTGTTACCTGACTTTGATTGGAACATCGTATATAAAGTCAGATGCTAAAACATGCATATGTCTAGAGTACGGCATTCATTTCAAAGTGCTCAAGTGGTACAAGTCATAGTGTTATTTATAGCAGTTGACTGGATCTGGGATTTGATTTCTCTCAAGTTTTCTCTTTGGCTTCATACAGCTCCAAATGTTCCTTTTTATGTAGTGAACAGGGATGACAGTGTGGTGCATCATCAGTTGCAGTTCTGGGTGCCCTCTGTATTTTTAGGGGTGAATAAGGTATCCTTTTCCCTCCCTTTTTGTCTTTGTCATTAGTCTTTCACTGGGCCATAGATGACCAGACTTCTTTATTCAGAGAGGAATTCTGTTATTAACAGCTAGTAATTTCTGAGTTTCCATAAACTGAGTGTTATTAGTGTATCTATTAGGAAAACTACTTTGCAGGTAGAATAAGTTGACGGAAGCAGTGTTTCCAAGGAATCCTAGCCAAACGTATTTTCTTTTGATTAAGTTGTTCTAATTGAGGATAACAGAAGGAAGAGGAGCTTACTAATGTTTTTCTTTGCTTTGTCATCTTTTTCCTTTCATTATGTTTAACCATTTTGCCTTTTCTTTTGTGCTTGTGTTTATTGCTATCTCACTGGCTAGATTTTCACACCAAGGCCATGTGACTTGTTTGCTGATTCCAATGGGGTTTTTTCACCAAAGCAGGTTGGTTTAGTAACTGTAGTGGATTTAAATTTAGAGGAGCTTTAGAGGAAGAAGTTTTTAGCTGTTTGTGTCAGAAAACGTTGGTAACTCTAGATTTTCTTTTGATGTTAATGGACTTTTTAAATGGAGCACTTGGTCTGTATTGTCCAAGAGAAGCCAAAGTGATTCCACATCAGTTCTGAAACTTCACACAGACATTATTTTCTGCTGTTGGACTTCCCATAGAAAAGATTACAGAGACTTTAAAAGGAATCATTATTTTTTCAGTCAGTCTTTTTTCCCCCCTTTGCTTTTTCTTATCTAAAATATCAGCCAATCTGAGCTACAGTTCTGCTGTTTTGTGATACTCTTCAGTACTGCAAAAAGTGTTTATATTGGGAGAAGACGGATTGTGGAATGACCTGGTTATTCCTAGCGAGACTGTTATATTAAACATACGTTCTCCACATCTGTAGGAAGAAGCCTGAAAGTAGGTATTCGGTTCTTAATTAACTTTTCTCTTTTGTTTCAGACTCCTCATCTTGTAAACCTTAATGAAGATCCACTCATGTCTGAATGTCTGCTTTACTACATCAAAGATGGTATTACTAGGTGAGGGTGGGTGCTAATACACTCTGAAGTCCACTTGGAGTTTAAAAGGGTCTTTTTCGCAAGACTTCTTGTCAAGATCTCTGGGAGAAGAGGGGTGGGCTTTGTTACCTCTGGAGCATTAAGCCATGTTTGGCTGCTTGGTTTGTATATTCTTGGAGAACAAATGGAAGATAAAACAGACAAGCGCTGTTGTATAATGCTACTTTGTGACTTGTTTGATATCATTTTCAGTAGTTCAGTTACTTGTAGAGAGTTCATTCAGAGAAGAATGATGAGAATAGCTTAGGGCCTAAGAAATCGTGCTAAGTTTGAGCACAACTATCTGATACTAAAAATGTGTATGGTAGTAAGTAGAGCAGGAAGATCAAAAACTAAATTTTCAATTTTTACGAATAACAAATATCTAGAATTGCTCAAATATTTGAGGTTTGGAATGGACATAAACTTTCACACTTTGAGGAAACAGCCACCCTCTCACCATCTGGAAGCTAGATGAAACTGTTCATAAAATTCAAATTATTCAGTAAAAGTCTAGTGAAGCATTTTTACTTCTTTGTTAAAGTGCAGATAGTAGTTGCTAGAAGGGATGATCACTGTATGCCAAACTAAACGGATCACTGGAAGTTCCTGTCCCTTTGTCTCTTTCTGTGCCCCTATGCTAAAGGGAGGGGAGACTTAGGGGGAAGAAAACCTCAGATCTAGAGATGTTTTAACATTGCAGATTCTCTTTAAGTGGTGTGTTTTAAAAGAGAGAGAGAGAGAGAGAGAGAGAGAGAGAGAATTTGCCTTTCCTTTTCTCTACCCATTATGTTCCAAATCATGATAAATCTGGTAAGTCTTCTACAACCCAGAGTTAAGCACTATGTTCCAGTTCAAGTCTTTAAACTTGAAGGATAATCTTAATAGTCTAGATTTTTCTCTGAATATTTCTGGGATGTGTTGTCCTATACAAAGTGTATAAAGTGTCTAAGTTGCTCTTGAAATGTTTTCTGTTGGATTCAGGGTTGGCCAAGCTGATGCTGAGCGAAGGCAAGATATCGTATTGAGTGGGGCTCACATTAAAGAAGAACACTGTATCTTTCGAAGTGAGAGGAACAACAATGGTGAAGGTGAAAAATTACTACTCCTAGCGAAGTGTTGCTGAATTTTTCATTCCTCAGTTGGTCAGGGAATACTTGTGTTTGAACATGGCCACAGCTATCTCTTTCCTTGGGAAAGTTGTCATTTTTGACTAGCTTGAATCTTGGGGGAAGAGAAAAAAGGGCATTTCAGTGATATTAGCATCAAAATATTGATATTTGAAATGGACAGGGAAGAAGTATTTAGAAGGCTGGAGCATGCAGACCTTTTAAACATATATTCATGGAAGTGAACTAATATTTTTAGTTGGGTATAATTAAAGCTATGATCATAATGTGTTACTGAAACTACAGAGAGTTTAAAACCGTCTTGATGTCTCGGCCAACGTGATCCCTCTTTCACTTCTGATGTGCAGAGGTGCATATTGCTGAGCACCTCTAATTTAGAGATGTCTCAGCAGTAGTGGAGTGCCAAAAGCCTTTCAGGATGAAATCTATTATGCATTCTATATGTGCTGACCATAATTTCAGGGATGAAATGAATTGGAAAGCACTGAAGACGCTGAAATGTTAAATATAAGATCATTATTAAAAGCTCTATAATGAGGTGTTTCTCAACTTGATCATATTGCAGGCTGTTGTCAGTATGAGTTAGGTTCTGTTCTTGGTTAACTAGAAGCATGAAAAATCACACAGAAAATAACTAATAATTACTACTACCTGCAATATTAAGATGTCAGTAGCATTGATTCTCTGGTGGGGCTTTGTTTTATTAACCAGCATGGCATCAAGGAGTGATTTATTTATTCCATGTTGTGATATTAGTGGGAAGATGGAGTTTGCTTGCTTCTGTGCTTCATACAGCGCTCTCTAAAGTCTCATTTGTCAATGTTTTCCTCATAGTTATTGTTACTTTGGAGCCTTGTGAACGATCAGAAACCTATGTTAATGGCAAGAGGGTAGTGCAGCCTGTGCAGCTGCGCTCAGGTAAGGAATTTTCGAAGAACAGTGTGGGGTGTGTGTGTTGTTTTTAAACTCTTGTGAACTGTCCATCTAAGAATCATCTGGAGATGACTTTTATATCTTTTGTAGAGAACACTGAATGCTGGTAAAGATCAGGAGTGTTACCTTTTTGGAATGTAGCTCTGGAATAGAAGCTGGTACCATTTTTCTCTTGGCAACAGTTTCTTTTCCTTTACTCTTTGCTGCACCAGCTGAAAGTGTACTTAAATATTCACTGCCACACAGCATCCTGCTTGTCCTTCTGCTTACCCTAATATTATTCTAGTACATTCTTGCCCAAGCCTATTGCCCTTGGCAGTCTCAGTGAGACAGAGCAGACAGACTGCCAGCTGCTGATGGAAAATTCCCAGCTTCCTGGCACAGCTAAGATGTGATTCTCTGCAGGAATACAACAGCTTCTCTTTCCTCTCATTTGGTTTCCCACTCAGTCCCCTACTTTGCTTTAGAAAGGCATGCAGAGGAAGGAGAGGAGAGAGTGACTTCCTTGAATTATTAGTTTTGGTCTGGCTGTATTAGAGAGTCCCTTTCAAATTATGATGCTTTCAAATTATGATGCTTTCTGTGTCCCTCCCCCTTTTTTCCAGTAGTTTAAAAAAAAACACCTCAGAATCATTTGCACCAAGTTGTGAGGGAGTATTTGCATGGAACAAAGTGTATTGAGTGAAAGAGGAATATTTTGTTGTTCTGTGCCTGTATATGGCTTATACTGAAAACTCTGACTTTATTGTTCAGCAATAACTTTCTTTAAAAAAAAAAAAAAAAGATTTTTTTTCCTTCTGCATCTAGACAATTGAGTTACTAAAACATTTTAGCGTCTTACATCTTCAATAGCCTATGCTTTAGCATTGTTTTCATAAGGACGATTTTGTTTCCTCTGGAGGTCTCTCTACTAGAATGACTTTTTTTTTTTTTAATTAAAACTATGGTAATATGTTCACTGGGACAGCTGAGGCATTTTGCTGTGTTCCATCAAGTGCATGTCTCGGGTGTTGTGGGCAACTGATGTCTCTAGGATTTAGTTGAAACTTGCAATATTATGTATCTTTGGCTCTTCCCTTAGTGAAATAGAAGCTATAAAAGGCTCCCATAAATCCCATTCATTAGAACTCAAGTAAAAACAGTACATGTAAACCACACTTAAAAAAAAAGAAATAAAGAAATAAAAAAGGAAGCACAGTGCATTCAGGTCTTTCAAGTCAGACTTTTCCAAGTTGAAAAATCTGAAGAAGTAGCTTTTGTCCATATTTTGACCCTGTCATTGGAAATTCTGTGTACCTCCTCCATTTTCTGGAGAAGAGAAGTGGGATTTAGCAATGTATTTTATTTACTGCAACTGTGTGTCAATCTCCAAGTCTATCCTTTAATTTTTAACAAAGTCTGCCAGAACATTAGATTGGTCCCCTGAGGTTCTGTCCTCCTCTGTGAACGTTTCTTCATATCAGCAGTAGGTTGTTCTGTACACACTAGGTATTCTTGCTTGTTTTCCTTGTCATCTAGTAACTTAAATGTGTACTGAAATCCTTGCTGGGCAATCCTTTCTTCTGCCACCTAACAGGATAAATAGTACTGATTGTTAAATTGTCTTTTCATTGATATTGGAACCCTTACCACAAAAGGTTAATCTTGGTTGCCGTTTTAGGCAATCGTATCATCATGGGTAAAAACCATGTCTTCCGATTCAACCATCCGGAACAAGCACGAGCAGAAAGAGAGAAAACGCCATCCGCTGAGACTCCCTCTGAGCCAGTTGACTGGACATTTGCTCAGAGGGAGCTTCTGGAGAAGCAGGGCATCGACATGAAACAGGAGATGGAGAAAAGGTAACAAAATAACTCCAAACTTTTACTTGAAAAAAGAAACAAACAGCTATAGATCCATTTGGCTGGTGTCAGTGTAAAACCCAAAGATAACGTCCACTGGTTTATATGGAAGGTTCTTAAATGAAGCTTCCACTAAAAAGCAGAGCTAGAGTACCCTTCCCTTTCCAACATACTCCAATGCTGGTTCTGCTAGGTAGTGTCTCTACTACCTGTAGTGAACGTTCAGAAGACTTGCTTATAATTTTACTTATATGTTTCAGTACTCTAGCTCCTTTAAAAATCCCATTTGACCACCTGCCACAGACCCTACAGACCAGCTCTGGGGGGCAGGATTGCACTGCAACTTCTAGGAAGTTTCAGTTCCTCTTTGGTACTCTAATAGACCTCCTATGTAACTGAAAATAAATACAGTGAATAGATCTAAGGGAATTCTCATTCCAAGTAAACTGAGACTTTTGGTGGTGGTAGTGCTTAAAGGAGGGCAGAAATTAGCATAGCTTTCATAGTGATGTATTGACAAAAAAACAGTTACCCTTTAAATGGAATGAGTTTTACTTTTGTCACTGTAATTCAGCTCACTCTGTTCATGGTATTACACCATATACCATATGAAAATAATAATCTCTTTGGCTACTTCTCTTCTTTTGTCCCTTTTCAGACTACAGGAAATGGAGATTTTGTATAAGAAGGAGAAAGAGGAAGCTGATCTCTTGTTGGAGCAGCAAAGGCTGGTATGTGTCCTTACTTCAGATTAACTATACCTTTGCCAAAACAGTAATTGCTGTCCTTGCTTATCTGAAAGTTTAGGAAACCTGCTTGGGTTGTCTGCACAATGCAGTTCTCCCTTTACTTTCAAATGCTTTGTGTCTACAGTGAACACGATCAGTGCAAGTGAACTCCTTCATGTTAATTCAGAGATTGAAATTACCAATGGAGAGGCATTAATCAATGCTTGTTGGGACAGGTTGGATTTTTTGAATTGAAACTTAAAGGGCATGGCTACACTCTTTGCCTTTTGAAGTTGCTTTTCAGGAATCTAATCAGCTGGTTTTTGGGGTGTTTGGTTTGGTTTTGTCTTGGAACACCAGAAAATACTAATTTTATGCTGCCAAAGAGACTTCTGGAACATTGATATGCTAGGTTTATTTTTTGGATAATGTCTCAAAATGTTGCTGCATTGTGCATGTTTTAACACTGCTCCCTCCCTCTGCATGGAGTTTCTTGTCAGGGTCTTAAGAGCACGTGTGCTGATGGTGAGGTTATGTCTAGGGAGCAAGTGTTCAAGGGGAGTGTTAACCCATTCAGAACAACGGGAATCCCTCCAAATGCCTAAATAGGAAATATGATAAGTCTGATATAGGAAGACTTAAGTCCTTTCGCAGCGAATATCTTACGAAGTGCATTACAAATAGAAATGCGTGTAGCCTATTCCCTGTGAATCTGAAAATATGACCAAGCCCAGGAATGAAATCTAGATTTCCGTAGGATACCTGAGTCTCCCATTTCTGTTAACTGTGTTGGGGTTGGGGGTGGGGGGGGGAAGTGCTTGTTTTTTAGCTAGAGGGCAAATGTAGTTGTACCTTAGTTCCAATAAAAACTTTAAAATCATTATTTGCTTGTTTGTAGTATGAGTTTAAGACCTCTAAAAAAAATTTGGGTTAAATAGCATGTCTGGGTTTAAACCATAAAGGGGGGTGGGGTGGGGGGGGGGGGGGGAAAAGTGCTTGTTTTTTAGCTAGAGGGCAAATGTAGTTGTACCTTAGTTCCAATAAAAACTTTAAAATCATTATTTGCTTGTTTGTAGTATGAGTTTAAGACCTCTAAAAAAAATTTGGGTTAAATAGCATGTCTGGGTTTAAACCATAAAGCTCTTCCGTTTCTCCCAAAACCAGAATGGAACAGGGTACTGTGGCTTCCATAGGTAGAAGCTATATTGGTTTTCATTTATTCTATATTGTACAGTGCACTTAAAGCCTTCTGCATCTCTAATTATTCCATCAGAAGGGGTTAATGTCTTGAAAGGAGAGGAGTGGTTCCAGAGTTTGAGCCAAAGCAAAACTTAGTTCAGAAAGGAAGTTAGGATGTGGCTAATGTTATGTTTAATCTCTGCAATTTCATAATTGAAATTTGCATAGTTGAAAGTAGTACTGCAAAAACAAATTCAATGCATGAAAAGAAAAATAGTTGGAGTATGGAGTAGGATTTGGCTGTGTGTCCAAGGAGGTGCAAGTCATGGCATTACCTCCCTTAAATTTTGGTGAGAGTCGTATTAGGTAGCTAATCACATGAATTAAACATGTGAGAATTGGCTGTCTGGGGATCTGCTTCAAGTAAGGCTGTGTTTATAAAAGCCTTGTGAAGGGAGTTTGTTTTCCCATATACTTAAGATTAAGAAAAGGTTCTTTAAATAGTGAGTTATTCAATATGTGATAAAGCTACTGATTTATGTAAGCTTCTTTTATTTGTGCTGGGGTTATTTAGTGGACAAGGGTGGAAGACTATCCTACGTACTTCAGCAATGTAGATTCCTTAAGAGCAGCTTTCCTAGTTATAAAGGATTTTAATAGAGATCATTGGTCTATTGAGCAGTATCCTGCTTTTGACAGTGTTTAATAAGTGAAACTTCGTAATGCATCATGGTCATTTCTGTGCCACTGTATGAAGAGTCTGGGATGGACAGGATAAATATCTTCCTGATTCTAGATAGCAGTTGAATGGTGATCTGAAAATCTGGGAATGCATTTCGGGCCAATGTGCCTTAAAAGTGTTTACATCGCTGCAATATCCAGATACAGTATCGAGATTCTATGATTTACTGCTGTATAAGATGGATGTAGAAATATAAATATTCTTCTTGTTCTAAATTGGAAAATAATCTTGTCTATAATGTGCTGGCTAATGCTCTTTATCAGTTTAGTGCTTGGATGCCAACCAGTTTGGACATTTATTTGTTAGACATGCTATACAAAAATGATAAATGATACCTCTTTCCCCTCACAAATTTATAACTAATGTTTGCATTGCTGGCATTTCTTGAGAATAAAATAATTGTTGTTACATCCCTCAAATTGAATGTGAAAATGTGTTTATTAGAGCCAGAATTACCTTGCTGTTTTTCTTGGTCATTATGCCTTTGCAGTGACCACTTGGTATTAGAAGGTGGGTACATATATTAATTGGATTAGTTAATCTCTGAGTGCGTGTAGGACAGTGACCATATAATGTCTCACTATCAGCTTTTTATACACAAGACATGCTTTACCCATAAATAGTAATATGGTAAATATGAAACCTGTAAAAATAATCCTATGTAACCTGTGACATGATGTTCGAGTAGCTCATTTTTTGCCTTTCTGGACACAGCTTTGAATGCGTAGCTTGCACAATATATGGTATCTTCCTTCAGGGCATCTTTCATTTTTACTGCAGTATAGAGCATGTTAGATACTATCTCCTTAGGCCACAAATTTTGTCGGCCATAAGCTCATGAGGAATTTATATTCTGTTTCTAATTCAGTGTTTTCCTTGTATTTTGGCCTAAATTAAGATAAGTTGATTCTCTTTGCTAATCTTAACTACTAAAAATTACGTAAGGTCACAAGAAGCTCAGGTAACATGAATCTTATGCTATAGAGCTTGTTGACCATAGAGCGGAACAACTTTTTTTTTTTTTTGCTCCTTTTCATTGTTCCTAATATAGATTATATTGTACGCTCCACTCTTTGTGGTCTCTTACACAAAGTTTTAAGTTAGATCTAGGAACCTGCAACTTAGAGCCAATGACATGGATTTCTTTTGGTTTCAGAGTAACTGGCTATTATTGTTCCTGATTTTTCATGTGTTACAATTTTTCCGGTGAAGAGTATGAACGTTAGAGGTTCATTAGTGTTTGACTTGTGGATTATTGAAGATTTTATGGGTTCTAGTGGATCACATTAATATGTAGGATTCTTTGTTTGTTAAAGAGATGTCTTAAATTAATAATCCTTTTTAAAAAGTAGTCTGCCTTTAATTTCTGGTTGCAGTAGGCAGTAATGGATATGATTAACTTTTGGTGGCAGTATCCTTGAACAAACATTCCTAGCATATGGAAACCTGAAACACTGCTCAATAAAAGTGATTTAGCAAAAGATGGAAAACTTAACGAAGAAGCAAAACAAGCATAACTCTTAGCAAGTGTGTGGAAGCTCCAGGCTCTAGGGTTTGAGAAGAGGAGAAATCAAGGATACCAAATAGAGAATTATTAAAACATATTAAAACAATAAAAAGGTCATTACTTCTACATTCTTCTGACACTCGTTCTTCGGACAGTCAAGACTGTTAATGTTTTTTAAACTAAACAGGAAGGTGGCAAAGTGGAGGAAAAAAACCTTTGAAAAACTGATTCTGGATATCCCTTTAGCTTGTAGCACGTCTTGGAGTATGAACCACTGTCTTCCGCTGTCATAGTGGCACTTACAGTCCTTTTAACATTGAACCTTTCAGCTGCTTCTGTTTCATTTTTTTTCTTATCGTCTAACACTTCTCTGGCTGCTGTTGTAGTGAAGCGGATTCTAAACTTGAGCATCCCTGCAACCATGTGCAACGTTACTAACCAGTGTTAACCTGACTTATTCTGGCTGCTCATGACACCTTCTGTGATGGCTGTTGTGTTCACCTACCTGGGGAGGATTTGCTGAAAGAAGCAACAGCAGTAACCAAGGCAAATGTGTGTGGTGGGGATTTGCATGTCTTTGTAGCACGTGAGGTGCGACTTAAACTTGTGGGTTTTTTGTTCTTTTTTTTTTCTTTTGGTCAGGAACTTGGGTTTAGTTGATCTAATTGAAGATCTATATAAAGCTGATCTATGTACAGATTTTGGAAGGGATCGGGAGGGAAGAATTTAGATGATCTCCTCTTTTGAGTTGACAAGACTTAAATATAATGTTTATGAAAAGCTCCAATTTTGACAGTCCATGACTCTCGAAGATACGTTTTAATGTCCTAACACTCAAGTCTTGAGAGACTTCCTTATCACTTGTTCTGTTTTGATTTTTGATTTAGTTTTCTTTGCCTGCTACTTCTTGTTTAGCTTTTCCATTTCCTTACAATTTTAATTTTGGTTATTTTGGGGCCACTTCTTGATTTTTGTTTTTCCAAAGGATGCAGACTCTGATAGTGGGGATGATTCGGACAAGAGATCGTGTGAGGAGAGTTGGAGACTGATCACTTCCCTGAGAGAGAAGCTGCCCCCCAGCAAGCTCCAAACCATTGTAAAAAAGTGTGGCCTCCCCAGCAGTGGGAAGAAGCGAGAGCCTATTAAAATGTACCAGATACCCCAACGCCGGCGCCTTAGCAAAGACTCCAAATGGGTTACCATCTCAGACTTAAAGATTCAGGCTGTGAAAGAGATATGCTATGAGGTAGCACTCAATGACTTCAGGCACACTAGACAGGAGATTGAGGCTCTGGCCATTGTTAAGATGAAAGAGCTTTGTGCCATGTATGGGAAGAAGGATCCAAATGAGCGTGAATCATGGCGAGCTGTTGCCCGTGATGTTTGGGACACAGTAGGAGTTGGAGATGAGAAAATAGAAGATGTTATGGCCAATGGTAAAGGAGTAACTGATGTGGATGACCTTAAGGTGCATATAGACAAACTGGAAGATATTTTGCAAGAGGTGAAGAAGCAGAACAATATGAAGGATGAAGAGATAAAAGTTCTTAGAAATAAGATGCTAAAAATGGAGAA